ACCACACCCCCAAAATATACTGGGCCACGCCCACAGCCAGGTGATTGCAGCCCTCATGATTGTGCACACTAGGGTGTGCACCACCCCAAGTAATTCTCTTACAACCTTGGGCTTGGCTGTACACCCGTGCCGTGCTAAATCACACCTCTGCCTGGGGACTGCCAGTACACTGAGAGCCCTACACCAAGCCAGGTGACCCTTGTCCCTCACATCTGCTCTAGGCCATACCTACACTAGGTGACTCCACCCCATGACCTTCCCATAGGCTCGCCCAACTCTCAGGGAACTGCACTCATATTCCTGACGACAGCCCATAGATACCACACTGGGGACTGGCTGGGGACACACCTGCTGGCCCACACCCATCGCTGCTGAGCCAACTTCTCCACCCCAAGTGACCCTTCCCTCATTACCTCCTACCTTGACTATATCTGCACCTGATGTGTCTACACCCATGCCCTCTGCCTTCTTCCCCTCCCCCAGTGGCTCAAACAAAACCCTTACCCCTTCCTTACTAATTGTCCTCAAAAGCATTCCCAACACGGCTGTGCCCGAATGCCTTGTGAAACTCACATCTGACTCAAAGAACTGCCCCATGGGACCCCTACCCCCAATAAATCCTGTCCAATTTATGTCCTTCAAGAGCCCTGGTGGTGTAGTGGTTACACGCTGGGCTGCTAACCACAAGGTCAGCAGTTCGAAACCACCAGCTGCTCTGAGAGAAAAAGATGAGCCTTTCTACTCCCGTGAAGAGTTCCAGTCTCTGAAACCCACAGGAGCAGTTCACCCTGTCCTATGGGGTCACTGTGAGCCAGAACTGACTCAATGGCAGTGAGCCATTTTGAGTTTATTTATGTTCCTCAGGTCCCCAGTTCCTTCTAGACCCAACCTCCCCCTGCCCACCAGGAACCTCACTTCTTGAAGTTGGATAGGTCTTTCCTCCATGGCCATTCTCACCATGGCTTTGTAACTCCCACCAGATGCCTGGCCGGGACTATGCCGATGAGGTGCTTGGGGCTCACCAAGGGGATTGGATATCTTGCTAATAATTCAAATAAGGTACACAGTACCCTTGTTGGGGTGGGACCATGAAACCCTAACAAGGGGTTCGGTTTGCCATCCAGCTAGGCTTCAAATGAACCCCCCTGGAGACTGACAGAGGGACCTCAATACTATCTGAAAAAAGGCAGGCGTGGAGCGTATCCTTTGGACCTGGGATCCTCGCCCTGAAAATCTCCTCAGCCCAGGAGGAGACAGAGTTGTAAGGCCAGAGACAGAGACAGTGTGAGATGGCAGGAGGCAGAAATGGAGAAATAGGCCAAGAGACCAGCAGGAGATGGCCCAGTGGGTTTCCTTGGTGCCAAAGCTTACTGGCAG